GTTATGTTTAAGAAATAATATATCCCAAACAGTGATTTTATCGCTCAATAACATCACTGTTTGGAGTTCGGATGCGAGGAATTATATCACGAGGGCGTAGCCCGAGTTATTTAATGATGCACATCCGAATGACAAACAGTGATGTTATCAAGCGATAAAATCACTGATTTCGATATATTATTTCGATTCTAACACGACATACACAATAATTGTTGCCGTACCAGATAATAAGCTCAATTGCACCTTATTTGTTTCCGTACTTATTTTCAGCGCATCACATTTTTAGTGGTTACGTCACATGTATATAATGATTACGTCATAAGTCTAAATATAGAACGTCAACAGTGACTTTGTTGCATAATATAATAAACTCTTTCGGTTCTTCTATGTTCAATAGGGAAAAAATGCGGGTCGTGTTAGAATATCAATTTGACAATGCTAGCATAATGCATCAATAAATTTTGAAGATATAAATTATATGTTGTTGTTTTGACTTTTTTTTATATTGTGTTAAACACATTTTTTTCAAATACTTAATAAATTTAATCATGTCATGACAAATGAATTCTTAACTTTCTATATCATGTAATGGAAAAGAAAAGTCGTTTTATTTGCATATTTTTCAAACATATAGCATTTTAAATGCACAAAAGTTTATAAATTGTAAGCAAATAAATAAATGAATAGCACCTTTAATTAATTCAAAGAGTGGCAGCATGGCCGAGTCTTTAACACATCCTACTAGTACTCTAAGGATGACTGGCCTTGTGGGTTCAAACCCTGTCAGGGGCAAGCTGTTGTTTCCATGAGCAAGAAACTTTACACTCATTGCGTAGTACTGGTTGGTTCTAGGAAAAATTTGACAGTGTTTAAATAAGCTTATAGCTTCCAACACAATCAAACTAAAAAAAATTAGTATAAACTAATTAATTCATATCCAACAAGATAAACTGAACTTACTAGATTTAAACCTAAGCCTGCTTGCGGCAAATGATTCTACTTATACCACAAGTGCAGACCAAAGTCAGCCAGCATATCTGTGCCGTCTGATCATTGTCTGCACTGTTTGTCATTCAGCCAGCACATATTTTGAAATTTTCCCTAAAAATGATGAATGGTTTAGTCCAGATTGGAAGATGGACAAGACCATTTAAGATATTTAGGATGGTTAGGGTTAATAAGAGTCAAATCTTAAATACATTAAATAAATAAAGCCAACATGAATTTACATTACAATAATAACATTATTTATCACTTCTTACCATTTTACAATGTACTTAAAAACTACAATACTGTTTTAACATTTAAAAACCAAACATAACTACACAGTTTTAATACCTGAATTTGATTCTGCATGTATATGATTGGTTAACACTGACCTATTGTTTGTTTTGACCATAGATTGTCCACAGGTGCAACAATTTTAGAAATGTCACACTCTCTGTGTACTAAGAAAGGTCAAATACAAATAAATTATTGACAAAAATAAAAGTTGAATTATACAAATAAATTATTGAAGAAAATGACACTTTATAGTTACATCATATTCATCACAAAATCTCAATAAATATTTAAATATTTCTATTATCATTGCCATGTAGTCAATCACATAATCATATGGCCTAAATATGGTTTACAGTCTCATTAACTGTAAATTTGTCATATTTTTGTTTCTATTTTTTTTTTTCAGAAACATAAAGAGGAAATAATTCGAAAACTTATTTAGGTCTTTATTGCACACTTAAACGTTTTGACTTAAAAACAATCAATTTTAAAATTGGAATCAGAAAGAATGAAAACACAAAAATATTAAAATGTTAACACAATTTTAAAATCATATCATTTAAAACACAAAATAAGAGAAACATGACAACATAATAATACAATAATGACAAAATCATAATAATGACATCATTATAATATATGACATCATTATAACATAATAACATTATAACTAGTATAACACCCAATGAAACGCCATCAAAACAATGCATAAATGACATCATACCAGTGTGTAATGATACCATAACAATGTGAAGTGATATCATTACCATTTAAAATGACATCATAACAACAAGAATTGACATAACAATGTGAAATGACAGCATCATAATGCGAAATGACATAGTAAAAAGGATGGAAAATGCTCATAACAATGTGAAGTGATATCATTACCATTTAAAATGACATCATAACAATCTGATATGATATCATTACAATGTGAAATGACATCATAATAATGTGAAATGACATCATAACATTGTCAAATGTAATCATAACAATGTGAAATGACATCTTAAAAAATGTCAAATGACATCATAACAATGTCAAATGACATCTTAAAAAATGTGAAATGACATCATAACAATGTGAAATGACATCATAACACTGTGAAATGACATCATAACAATGTGAACATATCCAAACAGAATGTACAGCTGGAGCATATATCATTTACCCTGATCAGTACAACCCGACGTCTCAAGAAGTATATATTTTAAGGCTATTAAATATGAAATACAGTTAGAGTAAGTGTTACATATATGAAACTACTAAAGAATGGCGAGAAGAATATAAATTGTCTCCCTTTAGTAAAAAAAAAAATTTTTTGCTTCATTTTGAATGCATCATATTTTATTGGCAATATGTCTGTTTATCTAAACTTATATACAGTCATATATATAACCACAATTTTCTAGCCAGGAAAAATGTAATTTAGAATTGTAACAACAAATTTTGTTCCTTTTTAGGGGCATTTCTTTTATATGTACAAGAGATCCTTAATTCTAACTTGTAGGGTAAGCAAGTTAAGCCTTTAAGGTTTAATAAAATAATTGAGAGGTGTTTGTGGTATTTTAAATACATTGCACAAAAAATACATATTAATTAGAATAATATTTTCCTTTTTACATTTACATACAATATGAGTAATTTGTGGGACAAATTCCTTGTATACTTTCCATATAATAAAAAAAACCACAAAAATTAAAACAATACAGATTTTACAGAACAATGATTATACATATTAAAATAGAGGAAGCATTATTTTTGTATTACACTTGAAAAAATATTTTCAGTCATGTCATGTCAAAAAACCTCAGTGGAGTTCTTTTAACAACAATTTTACTACAATGAACACTAAATTTTCATTAAAGGCACAGTATGCCTCAAGTTTCATTAAAGGCACAGTATGCCTCAATTTTCATTAAAGGCACAGTATGCCTCAGAAATAAATAAATGTTTACTTCTTAAGAAAGGGCACACATGTATTTATAATGTTTAGAATATGGTTCTAAAGAATGTTAGGTGCTTGTTACCTAAAGAAAACAAGAGAGCCATGATGGCCCTGAGGTCGCTCATCTGTATATAGGCCCCCCCCAACCCCCACCCCTCCCCCAACGTTACAGGGCCAATTTAATCCAAGGGTTTTTATTTGCACAAACTTGGTAGACACCCATAAGAAGATGTTTCATGCTAAACATCTAAGCTCTAGCTCATTGGGCTTTTTAAAAGAAGATTTTTTTTAAGTTTTTACTATACACATATAGTTAAAAACAATGACACCCCTGGGGCCGGGCCAGTTTTGACCCCAGGGCTTTTATTTGAACAAACTTTGTAGACACTTACTAGAAGATGTTTCATGCTTAATATCTAAACTCTAGCTATTTGGGTTTTTTCAAAGAAGATTTTAAGTTTTTGCTATACACATATAAAGAAAATCAATGACCCCCGGGGCGGGGCCAATTTTGACCCCAGGTCTTTTATTTGAACAAACTTTGTAGACACTCACTAAAAGATGTTTCATGCTTAATATCTTAACTCTAGCTATTTGGGTTTTTTCAAAGAAGATTTTTTAAGTTTTTGCTATCATGGCTATACACATATAAGGAAAATCAATGACCCCCGGGGCGGTGCCAATTTTGACCCCAGGGCTTTTATTTGAACAAACTTGGTAGACACCTATTAGAACATGTTTAATGCTAAATATCTTAGCCATAGCTCTTTGAGTTCTTTAAAAGAAGATTTTTTAAGTTTTTACTATATGCATATAGGGAAAATCAATGACCCCCCGGGGCGGGGCCAATTTTGACCCCAGGGCTTTTATTTGAACAAACTTGGTAGACTACCATAATAACATGTTTTATGCTAAATATCTTAGCTCTAGCTCTTTGGGTTCTTTAAAAGAAGATTTTTTAAGTTTTTACTATATGCATATAGGGAAAATCAATGACCCCCCGGGGCGGGACCAATTTTGAACCCAGGGCTTTTATTTGAACATACTTGGTAGGCACTCACTAGAAGATGTTTCATGCCAAATATCTAAGCTCTAGCTCTTATGGTTTTTTAAAAGAAGATTTTTCAAGTTTTTTCTTTCGGTTGCCATGGCAACCAGAGTTCTGCATGGAATTAAATTCTTTGAACAATTTTTAAAGGTGACCACCAAAGGAACATTCCTGTGAAGTTTAGATGAAATTGGCTTAGTGGTTTATGAGGAGATGTCATTTAAAGTAAAAGTTTAGGGACGGACGCCGGACGGACGCCGGACGAAATGCGATCACAAAAGCTCACCCTGTCACTTTGTGACAGGTGAGCTAAAAAGCACTCAATCTTAAATTAATTGTCATAAAAGTAGCAAAATGTAAACAAAGTGGTATTTGACTTCCATACAAATTACTTATTCACTATAAATGTACTTTTTGCCAAAAAGCAACAGAAAAAAAAGATGGTTCAGGTAATTTGCAAGTAACTTTTTTGGATACTATAGAAGTATACCAAAATTAAAAAGCTTTTGAGAAATAAAAGCATTTCTAAGGTATAATGGGCCTTTAACATGAATCTTGAAGCATGCTGCAGTCATTCCTGATACAACCTCTGGCTTGCTACATTATTTGTTGATACATTTATCACACATTAGTAAAGAAGACAATTTGTTTCACTAACAACCACTGATAAATAAATGTCTACTTTTAAAACATACCCATAAACTATGGACTGACCTCTTTAAAAAGACAGTAAATTGTCATTCACAAATAAAAACATACAATTATGATTAATTTTACTGCACTGACTATCTTTATCACAGAAATACTTTCTTACATAGCTACATACGCAACATAATATAATATAATACAATAACAGACCTGTCCACCTGTGCATATCAATTCTCAATGCCTAATAACTGTATTAGAGTTTTAAAAAAATCTAATTTAAAACAGGGGTATTTTTATAAGTGACAGAGTTATTTACTCTCGTTTAAAAATGAAGTGACCCTTAACAAAAATTTCAGGTTCCAAAGCAAAATTTCCATGGTTGTAATGAAAAAAAAATCAAAAGTTTGTAAAACCTTACTTGAAAATCTAAGAAAAAAGTGACAAATTATATGTGAAGTTTTTATTCTTGCATGTCTACAAAAGGAGGTGATAGTTATAAGAAGTAAAGAAGTTGAAAGTTTCAAAGTAATACCGCAATAAATTATGCGAGAAAGCATGTTGACTTAAAAAAATAACTAAGGTGTGACACTTATGTTGGCTGAAAAAATATTTGTAGGTTTGACACTGATGTTAGTTGAAAAAAATAACTAAAGCATGACGCTGATGTTTTTGACGCAGATGTCAACACCAAGGATGAGAGGGAGCACTCATTATTCCCCCAATCAGACAAACTAAAATGGATCTACACAAACGAATCATGACAGAAAAATAAAACAGGTCAATACAAAGAGGTCCAAAGCAGCACCATGGAGAGACTTCATCAAATTTTCGAATATAATTCATGATGGTGTTGCCCTTTATATTCCAAATTCACCCTTAAAGATTCCATAAAAATGTGAACAATCTTATATATTTTATAATCTTTTCAACATCTTTGTCCAAAAGTCTTCATAAAAAAGTATTATTTTTTGCAAAAGCATTCTAAAATTTGAACTTTTTTCAAGACAATTTTACAGTAAGTAAGTAACAGTAAGTAAAAAAGCCGTCACAATGCGTAGTAATACATTCAAATGAGTTTATCACATAGGTGACATATTCTGTAAATGCAATAAAACGTAGGAAATAGTTATTAATTTTCCATGGTTCAAGTTCAAATGCCCAGGAATATAATCACCAAGACTAGTAGGCCTGAATGATTAACTACAAAGCATTGTACATTAAAATACTAAATCACAAGAAAAATTAATATCTATTTCCAATTTCGAACATGCTTACAAAACAAGAGAATTGATAAAAATATATTGAACAGCATTGAGTGTAAAAGTAATTTCTCTGACAACATTTGAGCCGCGTCACGACAAAACCAACAAAATGGGTTTGCGACCAGCATGGATCCAGACCAGCCTGCGCATCCGCGCCGTCTGATCAGGATCCATGCTGTTCGCTATCAATTTCTCTACTTGTAATAGGGTTTGTAAGCGAACAGCATGGATCCTGATCAGACTGACGGATGCGCAGGCTGGTCTGGATCCATTCTGGTCGCAAACCCACTATGTTGGTTTTGTCGTGACGCGGCTCATTTGCTTTATTGATGTCTCATTCAACATCATATTCAGAGTATGCATTTGTTCTTAATGCCTTGCATATATCATATAATAATGCACTTGATTGCCCTGTCTTTTTAATAGGGGGATAATTTGAAGGACATTAGAATGTGTAAAAATTAAAAATGTCTTCAAAAGCTTTCAGTATATATAAAAATATCTTCTAACACCCTCATCTCACCTGCATTATCACTTTATAGGGTTATATTTATTTTAATTGTTTTTTTTTTATTGTAAGTCTCTGATCCCTTGTTTTCATTGTCATCAAATTTTACCATCAGCTATCACATTGTTTCATGCATTAACAATAAGTCTGACCAATTTTCTTCACAAGCCTTTATAAACTAGCTGTGAATTGTCCGCCAAAGGTTGGCTTTCTTCCTGGATTCGTTTACTTCTTCTCCATTTTCTCGTATGATATATTCCAACAATTACAACAACAATGAACACTGAAAATATAACACATTTAAATTTGAATTAAATAAATAAAACTCCCCTTGTTGATGAGGGGCTGCCTTTACGGGTTGAGGCAGCATAATTGCAGCCACCGTTTCATCCTGTATGATTGTAAAAGACGACTAAATGGGTTTGAAATATTAGGAGTCTATTGTGTATTCATCTCTAAGCTCCAGCAGGTGAAGTGGTTTTGACCTCTCATGTTACTGAAATTTTGTAACACTGGAGGATAGCACAAATCTACTGTGTTCCGTTAGGGCCAGCGCGGTTTTGCGCTGTCGTCCTAAGGGCGAAATCGCAAAAACACGATACCTTGACGCGAAAAAAGGATGCGATGGAGCGAAAACACGATAAGAGATCGCAAAAAAACACGATGCGAAAAATATCGCATTTTTCGCGTTATGAATATCGTGGTTTCGCGTTTTCGCCATCGCAGTCAGCAGAGCCAAAACGCGAAAACACGATATTAATAGCGCAAAAAACGCGATATTTTTCGCATTGTGTTTTTTCGCGATCTCATATCGTGTTTTCGCCCTCTCACTGCGAAGGCAAAAGCGCGAAAACATGATGCTTTTACATCGCAATATATTAAAATATGGTGGTTTTGCGTTTTCGCCCTGGATCTCCATCATGTTTTCGCCTTCTCGGTCAGTAAGGCGAAAACACGATACAAGATCGCGAAAACACGATGCGAAAAATATTGCGTTTTCGCGCTATTAATATCGTGTTTTTGCCCTACTGGCCGCGAAGGTGAAGACACAAAAACCAATGGGATATCAAGGGCGCAAACGCAAAACCATGATATTCATAGCGGGAAAACGCGATATTTTTTTTCCGCATCGTGTTTTCGCGATCTTATATCGTGTTTTCGTGTCAATGCATCGTGTTTTTGCCCTTAGGGCGACAGCGCGAAACCACGATGGCCCTAACGGAATTCCGTACAAATCATATTTCCAGTTTTGGTGCCATAATTATGACCTAAACTGTGTTGGTGCACCATAAACTATACAAACAAACATTACAACAGAAATCCCTATAGTTGTCTTTTCATATCTGTAACAATACATGTCAATACCATTCCCTTAACATGCATGCTATTAGACATTTCAACAAAAGTTAGACACATTAGTATGATAAGAATTTCAATAGGATAGAATAAAGATAAAATTCTAAATCAAAATATAAAAATTCATTTACATTTTCAGTCTCGGTTGCGATGATGATAAACAACTTATGCCAAAAGTATAGAGCAAGTTAAAAGTGATAGGCCAAGTTAGAAGTACATATCAATGCTCCACTAGACCAAATCCTATAGCGTTGTCTTTAATACCTCACATAATAGAGGATATTTCTTTATTTTTAGTAAACAAGCTATATATCACACTGAGAAGTAAGAAAATTGCAATATTTTAACAAGCACAAAGCACAAATGACAAGTGAAATTGTGGTTATTTTCTCACTTTGATCTGTGATATTCAGAAATCAAATTTTCTTTGCATTTTATGCCTTATATGTAAAATAATCAATTTTTTTACTGTTTTTATAGAAGCATGGGAAAAAGAAACACGTGAAGACGACGTCAGACCTTCAACACTGATCAAACATGAGTCATTCAAGTTTGTAGTCAAAAACTGCACAGAGATATTTAACAATATAAGACCAATAATGATATTTGAATGGATAAATATGCTTTTTAGAACAGAACACAATAATTAATTTTTTCTATGTAAAATTGTACAAATTTTTGGAATAAAAAAAAATATAACGTATGCAGTATAGGTGTGGGTAATATGGATTTAAACACATAGATAAAGCCCAGTATCTCACAGGTAAGCATGAAATAAAACACTTTTATTAGGCATTTAAAGTCAATTAGGCAGAGTGGCCAAGTGGTTAACGCGTCAGACTAGTAATCTAAGGACTGCTGACCGCGTGGGTTCAAACCCTGTCAGGGGCAAGCCGTTGTTTCCATGAGCAAGAAACTTTACACTCATTGCTTAGTACTGATTGGTTGCAGGCAGGATTCAAGAGTGTTTCAATAAGCTTATAGCTTCCAACACAATCAAACTAAAAATAATTGGTATAAATTAAACTAATTATATAATTGAGCCGTGACACGACAAAACCAACATAATGGGTTTGCGACCAGCATGGATCCAGACCAGCCTGCGCATCCGCGCAATCCATGCTGTTCGCTTACAAACCCTATTACAAGTAGAGAAACTGAAAGCGAACAGCATGGATCCTGATCAGACTGCGCGGATGCGCAGGCTGGTCTGGATCCATGCTGGTCGCAAACGCACTATGTTGGTTTTGTCGTGACACGGCTCAATTAAGCATAGTCAAGGTTAAATTTACCTAATATACAGCCCACAATCACTCCTATAAGTTCTCCTGATGGTGTACATTTATTAGATTTGCTGAACCTGAACCAGGGTGTGGCACAATAAATAGGCGACGTCGTCCCTGGGGGACAGTAACTGTTGTCCGGGCATATCTGTGGGGATAATGCTGGATTCTGAAAATTACAAATAATATTCATTACATGCTTTTTGGTGGTTTATAGAAATTATATCAGTGAAATATAAAACTGATATTTCATTTTTTGAAACAATGAAAATATCAATTTGATATTTTCACTGTTTTTGCTGTGCCACTTGTGAAATATACCTTTTGGTGCTCACTTGGTGATATATATTCTGATCTTTCACTGACCTAAACAAATATCCTGTATTTACAACTATGTATTTCTCATTGTTAAAGAAAATTGGACAATCAATTAGTGGCATGATACCTTATACATTTTCAGATATTCCTTATATAACATTAAAATAACCAGGGATTGAAAAAACATTTGAGCCGTGTCATGACAAAACCAACATAATGGGTTTGCGACCAGCATGGATCCAGACCAGCCTGCGCATCCGCGCAGTCTGATCAGGATCCATGCTGTTCGCTTACAAACCCTATAACAAGTATAGAAACTGATAGCGAACAGCATGGATCCTGATCAGACTGTGCGAATGCGCAGGCTGGTCTGGATTCATGCTGGTCGCAAATCCATTATGTTGGTTTTGTCATGACGCGGCTCATTTTCAGAGTCATACTTTCTACAGCCTGAGTACATTAAGCTACTAAGTTCTATACCTAGTCAAAGGGAAATAAACAATATCAAATTTTGCACATGTTTGATATCATTGAATTCTGCATTTGATAGGCTTTTAATAGACACAAAGGATTTTAAATAATTCAAATTGTTTACAAAATATGAAAAATTACTATGCCAAATAACTAATTTCTATCAATGTCCAATAGCCATTGATATTACATCATAACCTTTTGCCAATCCTGCATAAAAAAATAACTTTGAAATTGTAAGAAGGAGTAAATTACACCATCAAACCACACAGAAAAATATATATTTGATATTGTACGCAGGAGAAAATAATACGGTTACCAGTCAATCATTTAAAAAGAATAACTTTGATACCTGTATTGTATGGAGGAGTAAATTACATACATAAAGTAATAACTTTGATATTGTCTGCAGGCAGAGGCAGGAGTAAATCATACCAGTCAATCATGTATTATAAAGAAATATCTTTAATATTATACGGAGGAGTAATTTATACCAGCTAAAAACTTTGATATTGTATGTGGGAGTAAATCGTACCAGCAATGCTTTATAAAAGGAAAATACATAGCTTGAAGCTCACCCAAGCAATATTCATGAATGTTAACATAAAATATAACAATAACTTACAGGACAATAATGCCCATCTGGACATTTTGTACATTGTAGAGAACCAGTTGTATCTGCATAGTAACCGTCTGGACATTGTTCACATAGAGAATCACTTTTTTGTGACTTGTAAGTTCCTATAATAAATAAATATAATAAAAAATAAGTTACAAACATGATCTAACATCAAATTTTGTCTATTTCTAAAAGGAGAAGAATTGTTTTATTTAAAGTGGATTGGTCTACAATGGGCACATTTTTACCATAAGTATTTAAAATATTGATAAAACAATAGAAATGAATTACTTGGATATTCTTATAAAATACTGCTTGAAATAAATAATGTTGATAAAGGTCTAAGTGACTAAGTTTGAACATTAATATGCATTTATATGAATGATAATATTTTGTTCTAGAACATTATATTACATATGTTTGCTTTATAATATTTATGATATATCAGACCATGTATCTCACACTTGCCAACAACTTCCATATATAATTAGTTCATGATCAGCTGTTATGTCTGATACTATATACTATCAACATTAGTATTTGTTGTATCACATACCTTCCATTATAGACTAATTCACTTTAAATCAACACCATTCATTGTGAATCCAAGTAAGGAGTTAGGACTACGTAAAACGACCTGTATTTCAATTACTTTAATCCTTACTCTGCTTGCAACAACAGGTACAGACCAAGGTCAGCTGTCTAATCAATGCACTATTTGCTATTCAAGTCAGTAAATATTTTGAAATTGTCTCTAAAAAAATTGAACAGTTTCATCAAGTTTCAAAGATATTAAGTGTGGTAAGGCTTCTTTAAGGGCAACATACCATGTTTAAAGTTTTTATTCAGTAATTGCTATGCTTTGTGATAGACAGTTGGTGTATTGCAAAGCTATTGGATTGGACTATGATCTTTGATCATACACAATTTGGTCAGACAGGTTGATGTTAGGCATTTATGTACAAATTGGTGCCTTAATAAATAATTACAAAGTTAAAAAAGGTATGTACTACAAATGATAGTTCAGTAACACAAAGTAGAATATTTATGACTAAACCTGAAGGACAATTGAAAGTAGAAGCTTTAGTTAAAAACACTGGGAAATTTTTGTACTAGATTGATCTAAATTTTAGCTTAATATCTGTTTTTCATAATATTTTAGTGCATGCGAACATAACCAAAAATGATTCTCATAAAAATGACCTGGTATATGCTATTATATTATTTGCAAGAAAAAAAATGCAAATTTTGATGGCATCATGCAATGCATGACAGACCTACTGCACAACTAAGATGAAAATTTAATGTAGATAAGCCAACAATATAGATCCTGGTAAAACTGCAAGCTTATACAGGCTGGGCTGGCTTTAAACTTGTTGCAAATGTTAATTATTTTCCATTCTAGCAGGATAAGTGTTACATATCAAATTGAAGTCAAACATACCTGCTTCACACGGTGTACAAGTTATTGCACCTGCCTCTCTAGCCTCCTGACCCGCAAAACACACAGAACACATCTTAGCACCTGTCACACTGAAATTATTATATCTGTATTTAAATCACCATTAAACATGCTATAATTAAATGTTAACACCAAAACTAAACAACACTTATCATATGACTATTGGATATAGGAACTTTAATTTCTCGAAGCTGTTTGTATGAATTAAAAATGTTATGAATTTAATAAAATGCAAACAAACATGCACTAATTGTTGAGGTTTCCCATAATTACTTTTCTTCATTTATACCTCAAAAGATTTTTTAACAAATACTAGTAGATACTAGTAAAAACTTGAATGAGTAAGGAAGTTTTTAAATTAGCTGCAGATTTCAGATAACAGTTTATCACACACCCAAGCCGCTTTTGCAACTCTGCAAAAATGGTATTGCACTGCCGAACATATATTTTGACCTGACATCATTTTTGTTATGCAAATATAGTGTAAAGACGTTCCAAATGTAAGCGTTATACTTTAGGCGCGTCAATGAAAAGTGACTCTTTTTCACGTTATTCGTATAAGTGCATTACTGAATTTATTAAACTCGTTGAATGAAATTATATCATGCTCACCAGAGGCTTGCATATTATAATTTTATTCAACTTGTTCAATAAATTCATTATTGAACTTCATCTAATTTAATATTCTCTCTTTATGTCTACAAAAACTATTGTCTACCAACATCCACTAACACTCCATGTAATTTTATTATGTCAATGTTCTTATTTTAAACAGGAAAAAAGAAACCTGCTCGTTTCCACATACTTTAAATTTTGCAAATTAACTTACTTAGCAAATCTCCCTCTAGGGCATTTCTCACAGTCTGATTTATTTCTAAACGACTGGTAGTGGCCTTCCTCACATTGTGTGCAGTTTAAGTTCAACTCCCCAATCTTGCCACCATTTGAGTATGCCCCTGCAAAAAACATTGTAAGACTGATCAATTAAGTGTTTTTGATAAGGAAATAAGGAAAACTCCAACCAATATTTATTAAATCTTGCTTTAGTACCTACATATCAGCTTGTATTTCAAAAATAACAAGCAAATTCGTTGAATTTATATCCCCCGCCGAGTACTGGTTATTACTAACACAACAACTGAAGACATAAGGCTTTATTTATATATTTATCATGGCATAAACAGTAATATTCTTTGTACATAATAAATATTCAAGGCAATAACAGAGCCTTAACTCGGGTGTTAAATAGTAATATCTGGACATGGCAATGAGATGTAAATTGCTTTTTTGTATCTATGGGAAATATCTATGGTTCCCATAAAGTTTTGTTGAAATCAATACAGCAGTTGCAAAGAAATAGCAATATTGCTCTATGAAGGGTCTGGTCTGAACAAGGCAACATATTATGCACATCTCATCTTGGTATTAATGGTTTCAATAAAGTTTAATTGAATTCCAGCCAGTAGTTGCAGAGAAGTAGCGTGGAAACAATTATTGCTCTATATGCATTCTGCATAACTAATCAAGGGCTATAACTCTTGAGTTAAAGTGTCTGACCAGAACAAGCCGATGAAATGCGCATCTCCTCTTGATATTGATGATATCCATAAAGTTTCATTGAATTACATCCAGTAGTTGCAGAAAAGTAGCACGAAAATAATAATTGCGCTATATGCATACTGCATTACTAATCAAGGGCCATAACTCGGAGTTAAAGTGTCTGACCGGAAGAAGCCGACGATATGCGCATCTCCTCTTAGTATTAAAGGTTCCCATAAAGTTTGGTTGAATTGCAGAGAAGTAGCCTGGAAATGATTATTGCTCTATATGCATACTGCATAATTAATCAAGGGCCATACATGTAACTCTAAGTTAAAGTGTCTGACCGAAACAAGCAGACGATTTGCGCATCTCCTCTTGGTATTAAAGGTTCCCATTAAGTTTCGTTGAATTCCAGCCGTTAGTTGCAGAGAAGTAGCACGGAAACGATTTTTGCTCTATATGCATAATACATAACTAATCAAGGGCCATAACTCTGAGTTAAAAGGTCTGACTGGAACAACCCAAGATATGCACATCTAATGTTGATATTAAAAAAAACTTAAGATAAATTGTAAGAATTTTGTGAAAATGTCTGCCGAGGTCTGGGGAACACCTTACTGAGATTATCAGGTATTATTCAATCCTTTACCTGCTGAAAATGTGTGATGGATTAAACTAGCTTTGAAAATTGAACAGTCCATTCAAAGTTTAAGGGGTTTCAATAATCATGAGAAAACAAAAATTTGAGCTAACAACAGTATAGTGCTTGGTCAGACAGACAGGTTTGTCTGGCCCTGTAGACATAACACTGGTACAAAGGCTAAGCTGTTTTCATTCCAGCAAGTTAAGGATAAATTGTCAAGTTGAAGAGACATAATGTGACAGTAATATGTAACCAAATGTCAGTGTCCGTTATAAAAAATGTACTTTTATAATGTTATACTAAGAAAAAAAATAAGTGTTGTGTTTTACTCCATTTATAATTTTTTTATTTGCTGAATGTACATGTATCAAAGAAAACTAAATAGAAACAGTTTATCTGTACTCTTTCCTTCGTATACATAAAAAAATTGATCAATAAGATGTAAAAGGCAAGATATTTGAGTGCGTCTCTTTGCAAGTTTTTCCTGCAAATTCAATACTTGATGAATAAATAAACAATATACAGTTGTAACATTACATACCTGGTAGACAAGCTTCACAAGTATGTGGACCAGCAAATGGCTTATGTGTCCCATCTAAACACGGTTCACACGCAGACATACCCACTTTCCTGTAAAAGATAATGTACAAAACAGATATAAAGCACAATCTTGTATAACAAAGAGATGTTTAAAACTATCTTATATCCCTTAGAGTCAAAGATACATGAAAGTATCTCTTTCTTTGTAACAAGAAACCATCAGGGAACTATTCTACATGTATGAGCCTTAGTTAAAAAGATAGTGTCAACAAATAAATATCACAATTTTGTGAAACACAGCACCACTGGCAATCAAGGTGCGGACCTTTACCCTAACTGACTTTATTGTCAAAAAACCAAATAATTTCAATTTTTTTTAAAATCCAAAACCAAAAGATACAAAACATTGAAATATGATTATATTGTTTGAAAAATCATTATTTAAACCTAGGGGTGTCACAGTTAGCAAAAATGTTAACCATTTAAACGGCGACTTAATAACCATGTTAAGCATTTAGCCGACTGCACTTAAAGAATTCTTTGATTTTTAACATTAAATATTTTTATTGATAAGATAGCATATTTGGTGTGTATTTTGTTGTACTCAACAATGATTACAAAAAAATATTCTATTATGGAGTTACTGTTGTGCAACAAGACCGTACAAAGACTATAAAAAATAGGTTTTCCAAAAAAAAAAGTCATATGTTGAAACAAATGCAATGTTTGACATCAATCTAACAAAAAAATTCTAAGGTTTTCAGCTAACCTCAGTTACCGGTAATTGAATTTTCTAACCGGTCTTAGACTAAAAACTGACCAAATCCATTTTTAATGGATATACCTGACACCTCTATTTAAACCTGTGTGGTTAAAAGGCTGGACTAAAACATCCCTAACCCTGACCACTCTTAATGTCTTAAATGAACTAGTCCATCTATCAATGTGGACAATACCATTCAACATTTTTCGGGAATAATGAGGTGAAGCCTGGTAGACAAACAACTGGTACAAGTATGTTATCTTATTTTACTATACCTGGTTTCAAGCCCAGCTCCACAGCTTTCACACGATGTTTGTCCAGTCTCATTTTGAAACGTTCCTTTCTCACACCCTGTACAATCCACTGTCTCTGTTTTGTTGCTATAGTAACCCTACATAAACAGACAGAAATGTAAAAATTAAAATTACCTTAACAACACTACATGAGGTACAGAGGAAGTACACAGAAGTACAAAAAAAATTAAAATGGGAAAATGAAAAAAAAAATCAACAAAATGAATATACTATCTGAGGACACTTAAAATATGCTAAGAAAATAAAAATTTAGTCTAACTTTTATCAATTTCTAACACATATTGTCTCAGAAAATATTAAAACATTGTGTCAACAGAGCGAAACTTATAAATTATATAAACCAGAGTGTGCATCAACAGATACTGTTTTAAACATAATCAGACTAACAGATACTGATTTAAACATAAACAGAAAAAATATTTATGTGATCATTATATAAAAAGAAATAGTGATAATTCTACAATACCACTTATATCAACAAGAACTGTCAGAGGACAGCGACGCTCGACTATTCGAAAAAGTTATCACAAGGGTGTTTCAATGAGTATAATAATGCTTACCTATATAAATACATAAAATTGTCCGAAAGGTACAATGGCTTGTTATTTAGATATTTTATCAAGTAAATCACTGCTTTATTATTATGAATGCATAAAATTGTCCCAAAAAGGCACAAACCCTCCAGTAGTTATGGAGATACCAGCTTACAAGCAAAAACTTTAACAAGAATTTCTAAGTCGAAAATGGAGCATTATTTTCCAAAAAGCATATCAGAGTTATGGGACTTGTGCCAGTCATGTTAGATAATCACAGAGAACAATTGACTGAAGTTTCAATCCAATCCCTTCACTAGTTATGGTGATACCAGCTTACTCGCAAAAACTTCACTAAGAATAACTAAGTCAAAAAAGGGGCATAATTATCTAAAAAAGCAATCAGAGTTATTGGACTTGTGCCAATCAAGTTAGATAATCATAGAGAACAATTGACTGAAGTTTCAATCCAATCCCTTCACTAGTTATGGTGATACTTACTTACACACAAAAACTTAACCACAGGGACACCGACGCTGACAAATGGGTGACTGCATTAGCTAAAAATGTTTATACCATTAAATCATCATTTTCACTCAAAACAAGAGAAATAAAGAAGGCTGTAACATGTTGGCTATAGGTCATGGACAAATTATGAATTTGGACTTGGTTAGTCCCAAGCTCTAATTACATTTGGGTACCCGCTCAAAGTTGTCAAAGACAAAGATGATGCACCAGCTGAACATGATCTGCAATGGTTGCATGGACAGAAACAGTTGTCGTCAGCAGGGAAGTTTTAATTAACATAAAGTATATAAACAAACCTTTTCACATTTTGAGCAGGAAATTTGACCAGTTTTGTTGCTATAGTAACCTTCCTCACATGGTAAACATGCTTGAGCAGCAGCAGTATCTCTGTATTGGTATAAAATTAAAGGGATACAAATGTATTTAGTTTGGCTTTGAAAAAATAGATCAAATAAACACTGCAGATTATTATAATTATATTTTTTGTACAACATTTTGAAATAATCCTTTAAACATATTTGACAAGTTAAATTTTTAGAATTCAACGATCTTCCCACTTACCATAACCATAATGATACCGTAAAACTTGTGAAACAAAGTTTAAAGGTGACTTAAATAGGTTATTTGTGTTTTTTCTATTTGGATTCTTAAGGCCATAATTCAAAGTCAAGCATCACATGGTGACAGTCATAATTAACAGTTTGTAGAAACAGTTTTTTTTTTAGAATTTCAGATCTTTTCGCTAGTACAGACTAGAAATGTGTCATCATGCCACGGATGCCCCCGCATGCAGCCAAAATTTCAGATGGTGCATTAATTATTTTTTTCATTTTAAGTTCAAAAGCCCTTAAAACTTTTCAATGTTAACAAAAACCATTTTCATACAATGTTCAAGGCACTGAAATTATTCAGTCTTAACCTTTTAAAAATAGCATATTGCATATTTGTAGCCAAAATAATGGCTAAAAGTATGAGTGCTGAAACTGAAAGTTCAAAATTTTTCCAACATTCAGGAAAGATAAGTTTGTCTAAAATCATTGAACCACGACCAAATTCAAACTTAAACTGCTTATTCCTAAGCTGTATCTATATTATTTTCAAAGTGAAAGGGACATAACTCTGCCAAAAAATCATCAAACCATGACCAAATTCCAACTTGACCTGCCCATTCCTTTGACATATCCATATGTCAAATTAAAGTTGAATATGTAACACTGTTGGGTAGATAATGAACAGAAACTGTAAATTTCATATTATTTTCAAAGAGAAAGGGGCATTACTCTGCCAAAAATCATTGAACCATGACCAAATTCCAACTTGGCCTGGGCATTCCAAAAACATATCCATATGTCAAATTTGAGTTGAATGTGTTGTACCATTGGGGAGATAATAAACGGAAACTGAAAATTTCATATTACTTTCAAAGTGAAAGGGGCATAACTCTGCCAAAAATCATTGAACCATGACCAAATTTAAACTTGACCTGAGCATTCCTTTGACGCATCCTTATGTAAAGTTTGAGTTGAATGTGTTGTACCTTTGGGGAGATAATGAACGGAAACTGAAAATTTCATATTATTTTCAAAGTAAAAGGGGCATAACTCTGCCAAAAGTCATCCAACCATGACCAAATTCGAACTTGACCTGTATTTTCTCATGACATATCCATATGTCAAGTTTGAGTTGAATGTGTTGTACCGTTGGGGAGATAATGAACGGAAACCGAAAATTTCATATTATTTTCAAAGTAAAAGGGGCATAACTCTGCAAAAAATCATCGAACCATGACCAAATTCGAAATTGACCTGTATTTTCTCATGACATATCCATATGTCAAATTTGAGTTGAATGTGTGCAACCGTTCTTAAGATAATGAACGGAAACTGATGATGACGGAATGACGGAAGGACGGAAGGATGGAAGGACGGAAGGACGGAATGACGGAACAGGGTTACACTATATAAGCCCCGGCCATTACATGGCGGGGGCATAAAAATATCCAACAAGGAGTGTTTACTATTTACTATCAAACTTTAATCATTTATCACTTGTTAAGAGCCTAGGATTAATGAAAAATGTAAAGTTATTTTGACTTCTACCTGTGCACCAACCATTTCCACTTTGATGGGTATAATGTCACTTTAAGATCCACAGATCTCAGTCATTCGAGTCTAATTATCATTTGTTTCTAAAACCCTGATTTATATTATTCATGAGGGATAAATATTTTGTCTCTTGCTGAGGAATAGGTGATAACTGTTTAGTTATCCATGAAAGCTGGTTAGGTGAATTGATTGTTGAAAGATGACCAAAAATATGCTTATATCGTCATACATCGGTATAAAATTCAAATTCCATTATTAACTTACATATGAAAGCCCATTTCACATGGTTTACAGACTGCACCTCCTGTAGTGTTCTGGTAATGACCTTTGAACAGAAAAAGTTAAAATTCTATTGTCCGATCACAAAATTGAAATTTCAAAATGTAAAGATTCGGTGAATACAGACTTTCCAAGTAATATTGTAATATATTTGGGCAGCTCACAAAAATAGCATTTAAAGCAAAATATGTCTAAACTTTAATATATGAATCATTGGTATAAAATAATCACATAATTTCATCTGAGATCCAACTATCATATGAAAGAGATGTCAACCTAGCAAGATGTCATTAAATAAATCAATTGTTCATGGGACTAAATCACTTAAAATGGAAGACTTACCTGGTTCACACTCCTTGCACTCGGATGACCCTGTTGTGTTACTATAGTGACCAATATCACAAAGTTTGCACTCGGAAGAACCGTTAGTATCTATAAATTGACCTTCAGGACATGGATTACATGTGGGTGAACACGTTTCATTGCTATAGTAACCTTGATCACATTGCTGGCATTCAACGCAACCTTCTTTACTGAAATAAGTGCAGAAAGGTCAGAGCAAAGAACACTAAGAATTCATTTAATGTTCTAATAATTGATAAATATTCTACATACATGTCTTGACAAAATTGAATGGCAAATAAACAGTTCATATGTACGATATAGGTGTCTACAACAACTCTTTCAATTTTAACTACCATGATGACTTGAATTTAAGAGTTATGGAAGAAAAGTTCACTTTTTGGACAAAAAAGCGATAAAGTCATTGCTAAAGATTTGCTTCAGCAATGGAAAGTCAAGGATTCAAAACAGGACAAGTTCATTACACAAATTCTGCAGGGTATAGATAGATTAAAACAAAGTTATCAGTTTACATACTTGCAATAATAGCCTTTATCACAGCATGGGCATTCTATCCCACCTGTTTCGTTTTGGTAGGTGCCTGAAAAAACAATGCATTAATGCTAATTGTAATTCAACTTCTAGCTGCTGGTAGAATATAACTAAAACACAGATATGGGAAGGAGCTGAATAATTAACAAAATAGACAAATACATGTACCAAGTGACAGAAATTGTCACAAAACAACGTTTTTGATACAAAACTAGGTTTTTCATACAAAACTAGGTTTTTGATAATGTTAAAAATTAGACCATTTACATGTGACAATTTTATCGAAATCTCCTGGTTTACATTTGTGTATGTTTACAGTGCTCAATTTACTACATGCAATGTTCACAAAACAAAACAAATATATATATAATCTACAAATTTTAATCCTGTTTACCAGCATGGCATTGTGCACATTTCTTGGTTGCTTCACTTCTTGTGAAGCGTCCTCTCTCACAAGGTTCACATTCTGCTTTCCCTTCTTGTCTGAAATGTATTCAAGCACATTTACATGATTGTATATACACATGTAGATAATTGTGTATAGAATGAAGTTTGGACTTATTAGTAATATATAAAGCTATTCATTACATAACTGTACACATATTTCTACTTTTAATTTATATACATGTATCATTTGCTTAAATATGACCAGACAGAAAAAAATCTGCATGAACCTCAAGTGTAATCCTAAATAACATTTCTGACATAGTTTCATTACTCATTACATCAAAAATATTTCTAAATTTGACAAGTTATATCATAAAAGTACATTTGTGCTGTCGGAGCATGTTCTGCACTGTTTCTTTTTCAGCAGTACTTATTTTGATGTGTTCCCCCTAAAATAATGAATGGTTTTGTCCACATTGAAAGATGGACAAGTCCATTTAATATATCTAAGGTGATGAGGATTAAACTCATTCAAATGTGTGGATCATGTGCCCATGGTTAAATCAAGTAAGTATTGAGTCATGTTTTACAGGAAATAATTGTATTACATTAAAGATCCTGTAACACAATTTTTTCATGGTTTTATTTCATAAATATGATGCTCAAATTAAGATTTGTCAATATTGTAAGTTCCAATAAGCATTATTTATAAAGATATTACCCAATTTAACATTTCATGTAAATAAAGGGAGGTAATTAGAAATTTATTTTCTATAAATTCTAAGTCAAATTTTGTAATAAGAAATGAATGCCTGTAATTTATTGATTAAATAAAATGTGCACAAATATTTGCAGTACACATTTTACATATTCTAACATGTTTGAAAATTGTTTTATTTGCATAAATTTGTACATATATAATTGTTTGCTAGTGTGGTATTCACACAGTAAAAATATCAATCACAAAACATACAGGATCTTTAAACTATTTAAATGACCTTTAACCATGTAAAAATTTCAATACTAAGTCTATCTACTAGGTATTTCTTCTTAACCACATGATCAAGTACAGTAACTGTATGGGATGTTTAACAATACAATTGTTAAGGACAATAAAGTAGTCTGACATCATGAAATCATAGGATAACAATGGCTATATAATGTATATCATTTTGTACTTTTAAACTGTGTAGCCTAGCTTTTAACACTATCTTTATATCATGTGACCTAATTAACATCACAATATATACTTATGTTTGATATATTTTTTATTTTAAACAACAATTTCAACAAAATTTATTTTTGTCATATCTCAACAGTCAGTTAACCTAGCTGGCTAACCTGGACACATAATGGTTAACCAGTAATTAGCAATTTCTTCAAAAGTGACTCACTACTTATCCAACATGATTTCTGAACTATCCATTTATACCAATTTTTGGGGAGAAAATTAAAATGTAGACAGCTAACAGTATATAGTGTGGTCAGACTGGATTAAAAGCTAATCACTTTTGGTTGCAGCATGGTAAAGGTTAAAGGCACATTATGCTTTAGAAATTAATAAATTTTTCCTACATAAGAAAGGGCAAACATGAGTATTGTAATGTAAGATCCTGTAACTCAATTGTTTTATGGTTTTATATCATAAATATAATGCTCAAATGAAGATTTATCAATATTTGTAAATTCCAAAAAAGCATAATTTGTAAAGATATTACCGAATTTACATTTCAAATTAATAAAGGGAAGTAGATTAGTAGAAGTCTAATTGGAAATTTATTTTCTATAAAGTCTAAGTCAAATTTTTTCAATAAGAAATGAATGCATATACTTTGATGATGTACACATTTTTGCAGTACATATTTTACATATTCTTCATTGTTTGAAAATTGTTTTAGAAGCATAATTATATTCATATATAAAATTTCATTTAAATGTGGTAACAACCTTAATTACAACATACAGGATCTTTAAATAACAGTTTTACAGCATGTTAGATGCTTATTAGCAAAAGAATGCAATGCTGAATGTGAAATTATTTGTCAAAGTAGTATTTGACTTCCATATAAAGTACTAAGACTATAAATGTACTTATACATTCTGAAAAGCAAAAGAAATAAAAGATGGTTTAGGTAAATGACCAATGAAGTATCTTTTTTAAACTTTAATAGGACACCAAAGATAAAAAAGATTTTGAAAAATAAAAATAAAAACATTTCTGGGGCATAATGGGCCTTTAAGGAGATTTTAAAGACATACGGTTGTTCATGTCCTGGTTGGCAAGGAGAACAAGATGTTTTACAGTAACCTGTCTGATTGCAGCAAAAACAATCTCTTGTTTCTGAAAAAAGAAAATGGAACATTTCAGGAAAAGAAAAATACATGACAGAATTTACTAATAGTTTAGATTTTAAACTTTCTGCAAGTGATTGCAAAAGAAGCATTCTCATTTTTGATATTGATCAGATGGATAAGGGTTAGAATTTTGATAAATTCATGGATGGAATCAGACTGCTCTTTGTGAAATTCAATGCCATGCAATGTATTGTATTATAATAATTTTTAGCATTTATTAATAGTGTAAAAAAGGTACATGTAGATTATCAATTGTTGACAAAGGGCATTATGTTTACATCTTACTACAATGATCAATGTCAAATAATACTTATAAGGACTCCAATGACTATTTTTTGACATGACTGGACTGGAAATCAATTTTCAAAATAAATTTTCTATTTGATGTAGATCTAGACAATAACTTGTGTGCCCCAGCTGATCTATGTAAGAAAAACTCAAATTTTAAGTTCACAGGCTTTTTGTTAATATTTCAGCATGTGAAACTAAAGATAATATTCATATGAATTGAAAGCTTAAGTTTGTTAAAATTTTGGGGACAATCTTGACTTAGTTAAGTATATTATAACTCAAGATACAATGTAAATTGTAAATCATCAAAGTTATAGGTAAACTTTAAATAATACCTTCATCTGCAAAATATCCTGGATCACAAATCTTACAATCTTTAAAAGTTGTGTTACATTCTATACTGGACTGGAAGATCTCTGAATCTATTGAAGTTATTGAAGGTACATACACAAATAGTACCAGCATCAATATACCTGAAAAAAGAAATATTTGGACAATTATTTCTTTTCATAATTTAGATATTATTATATGAGTAACACAGTAAGTTATAGAATCACATTTGATAATCCCCATTTAATCCTTTAATCCATTAAATTCAGAGAGCAACACTATTTAAAAAGAGAGTGAAATTCCAACAATAATCCCAGTCATGAAGTTTGTTTGTTTGGGTTTTACGTCATACCTACACAGTAAAGGTCATTTGGTGACGTTCCAGCTTCACTGGTGGAGGAAGATCTCAGGTGCCCTTTCTTGCATTATTTCAGACAGGAACAGGCACCTGAGTAGAACCACTAATGTTGGATAGCTTCCTTACATGAAAGAATCCAAAGTCCCTTTAGGGATTTGAACCCACAGCAGTGAGGGTAGAGTGGTTTAAAGTCAAACAACCTATGACGCCCCCAGTCATGAAGTAAGAAACGGAAAATAGAATACACATACACACAAAAAAAGAAACCATTATGGATAGATTATATTGTAAATGACATACTGCTTGTTCATTCTTGATAGCCTAATTTACAATTCTTTAAAACAGATTAAGGTTTAAATATAAAACAATATATACTGAAACAGCAATAGAATGAACTCTGAAGAAACAAGATATGTTTGTAAAACATGTATGCCCCTATCAGCAGCCAATTATTCATGTGATAAGGTAATTATGCATGACTTCTGACCAAGTGATCAAACAATTAATAAGGGTTATCAAGTATCTACTGGTCATGACCTTGACTTTTGAGCCCTTGACCCAAAACTCAATAGGGGTCATCTGCTGGTCAAGACCAATCATCATACAAAGTTTGAAGTTCCTAGGCCTAAGGGTTCTTTTATTATTGATCCGAAACCGTTTTAACATACAAGGTCAATGTGACCTTGACCTTTGACCCCAAAATCAATAGGGGTCATCTGCTGATCATGACCAATCACTATGCCAAGTTTGAAGTTCCTAGGCCGAAGCATTTTTAGTTATTGATCAGAAACCCTTTTTACTTACAAGGTCAATGTGACCTTGACCTTTGACCCCTTGATCCTAAAATCAAAAGGGGTTATCTGCTGGTCATGAAAAATCACAATACCAAGTTTGAAGTTCCTAGGCCTAAGCATTCTTAAGTTATTGATCAGAAACAGTTTTTACTTACAAGGTCGATGTGACCTTGACCTTTGACCCCTTGACCCAAAACTCAATAGGGGTCATCTGCTGGTCACCACCAATCATCACACAAAGTTTGTAGTTCCTAGGCCTAAGCATTTTTAGTTAAATGATCGGAAACCGTTTTTACCTACAAGGTCAATGTTACATGACCTTTGACCCCTTGACCCTGAAAACAATAGGTCATCTGCTGGTCATGACCAATCACCATACCAAGTTTGAAGTTCCTAGGCCTAAGGGTTCTTAAGTTATTGATTGGAAAGCATTTTTACCTACAAGGTCAATGTGACCTTGCCCTTTGACCCCTTAACCCCAAAATCAATAGGGGTCATCTGCTGGTCATGACCAATCACCATACCAAGTTTGAAGTTCCTAGGCCTAAGGGTTCTTAAGTTATTGATCGGAAACTGTTTTTACCTAAGAGGTCAATGTGACCTTGACCTTTGACCCTTGACCCCAAAATCAATAGGGGTCATCTACTGATCATGACCAATCACTATACCAAGTTTGAAGTTTCTAGGCCTAAGGGTTCTTTAGTTATTGATCGGAAACTGTTTTTACCTAAAAGGTCAATGTGACCTTGACCTTTGACCCCTTGACACCAAAATCAATAGGGGTCATCTACTGATCATGACCAATCATCATATCAAGTTTGAAGTCCCTAGGCCTAAGGGTTCTTTCGTTATTGATCAGAAACCGTTTTTACATACAAGGTCAAGGTGACCTTGACCTTTGACCCTTTAACCCAAAATCAATAGGGGTAATTTACTGATCATGACCAATCACCATATCAAGTTTGAAGCTCCTAGGCCTAAGGGTTCTTTTGTTATTGATCGGAAACCGTTGTTACCCAAGAGGTCAATGTGACCTTGACCTTAGACCCTTTGACCCCAAAATCAATAGGGGTCATCTACTGATCATGACCAATCACCATACCAAGTTTGAAGTTCCTAGGCCTTAAGGTTCTCTACTTATTGATTGGAAACCGTTTTTGCTTACAAGGTCAATGTGACCTTGACCTTTGACCCCTTGACCCCAAAATCAATAGGGGTCATCTACTGATTATGACAAATCACCATACCAAGTTTAAAGTTCCTAGGCCTTTAAGTTCATTAGTTATTGATCGGAAACCGTTTTTGCTTACAAGGTCAATGTGACCTTGATCTTTGACCCCTTGACCCCATAATCAATAGGGGTCATCTACTGATCATGACCAATCACCATACCAAGTTTGAAGATCCTAGGCCTAAGGGTTCTTTAGTTATCACTCGGAAACCATTTGGTCTACGGACCGACAAGTGCAAAGCAATATACCCCCTTTTCTTCGAAATGGGGGCATAATTACTAAGCATGCCTGGAGTCAGATGTGACCCTGCACCACACCACTTAAGCACATGAAATAGCAGGGACTTTACAGAGCAAAGGAATGATAACCATGTATTTACCATTAAAATCCCTTTGTACCTTTGTACACCAGAATTGTTTTGTAAATACAGTTAGAGGAAGGGTTGGAATATGTAAGTTGGGGTGGGGGGAGGTATATACATTGTATGAATGTATGGGAGTTTCATCTGCATGTGCAACAAGGATCTATACACTAGTATAAGTAACTAAGGGGACATTATACAAAATAAGACAAGCAACTACTACCGTCTGTGTATCATACTGTATGTGTTGCTAGAACAAGAGTTGTGTTTACAAACCATTTTTACCAAGACAATTACTACAGGCCTGTTAAAAACATTTCCCTATATTTTGTATGGTTTGCTTATTTCCACTATGTTTAACTGACAAGAAGATATTCTTTCAAAAAGATCAACACAATATATAGTTTTTCTTGACAAGAAAATATGATGCAGCATTTACCAACAGTAGCTTGTTCTGCATTATGTCCCAGAACTAACATTGTAAGGTCTAATCATAGAAAGTTTAGGTAACATTGACATTACTTAGCTAGAGTTTGTAAAATTATGACAACCACTAGACTTAAGAATCTGTCCACAGCTATTTTTAACATTATAATTTTACCCAATAATACTTCTTCATTACACCCATTAAGTTCATCATTATCAGCTCTATATGAACCATGAAATTAACAAAGGTATATCTGGTGAATAATATAAGTTGTTTCCCTTATCTTCGAGTAAAATCAATATCTCAAATGCTAATTTTAAGTAAAACAATACAACTTTAGTCATTTTTAAACCACTCAAGTACGTTTTTTGTGATATAATGTCTGATTTTAAAATTTATTACACCAATGAAAAGCTTGTGATCTAAGCTTCATCTCAATATATATTTCAACACATTGTTCGACACTCAAGGTATTTAAATTAACTGGTAATCCTACCACAAATCAGACCATTTTACATACGATTTATACAGTGAGATACGCCACCAGTTATCTTTACTAAAAAATACTGATAAGAATAGCCTGTTTTCTGCTATTTCTTAAACTGTCAATTGATGCATATATATGATTCTCTACAAAATCACTCAGATTACTTTTAGGGTTATGGACCCTATGTAGATTTAGTTTTATGGTTAAGGGGTTAGGGGTTACTCCACCAAGATTACAAATTGGAAACAAAGATTTTGCTGCAGACAGATTCTAAAAGTGCTTCGTAGATGTGTTTAGCTACTTCTTTGCTTCTCTCTATTTGACTTCCCTTGTCCAACAAGCACTATAAAAAGGCTTGTGTACATAGACCTATATTAAACAGTATAGATCTAATATATTTTGAACTTAGTTAGGCTTAATATCGTTACCCATGCCAATTCTATCTAGTGATTTCATTTCTTATTATCAATTAAAATTATAATTTCATACCTTTCAGAAAAAGAATTTTTCTTAACATTGTCATTAAACACATTGATCACGCTATGTCATGGCTTTGAAATAACTTCAATGATGCTATCAATTCCTTCACGTCGTCTACCATTTTGATATCATGTGACTTTTGTCGATCAGGGGAGGCAATTGGACATTCTAATCGACGGTCTCCGGTGTCCGAATTTTAATCGGAAAAAAGACGGTTTTCCCCCGCCAATTTAGTACAATGCAAACAAAATTCGTAATATTATCACAGTTCAACTCCATGATATTATTGTATTCTAAAATTCCTCTTTTGGATCCAATATGAATATAACTGATTACAGTATGATTAATGCAGATACATTTAGTTATTCTGAGGCATAGATTTACTCAGAAATCAATATTTTTTTTAATTCTTAAGAAATGTATTTAGATCTAGATCGTATTATCACATATTAATGTTCGAATAATGGATTATGAACATGTTAAATGTTGAATAACATAAAAAGTACAGCTTAACGTGCAGTTATGCGTTATAAAGGTAGCAAAATGTAAACAAAGTAGAATATTCTGTCCCAGATACAAAATACCTGGGACTTAAAATATACATAAATTTAATTCCAAGAAAATACTAATTCACTACGTGTATAATTATACGGTTACCAATTGTTACAATTAAATTATAATAGTTCATGTATATTCATGGCAAATGAGATTTTTTTGAAAACTGCAACAAGATACAAAAAATATTTTTTAATAAATAAAAATGCAGAGACATAGATCTATATATGTCTCTAAAAATGATAGCATTTCTGATAGTAATAATTCGTTCTTAACTTGCATTGAAAGCTAGGCTAGTCGTCTTAAATAAAAAAAATATATAAAGAACCTTTGCCAGGGGTTAGAATGATTCAACGCTGTGACGTTTAAAAAAACAATATCCTTTTCCTTATTTATTTTGCTGGAAAACGGAATATAACCGAAGGAGAGTGTTACAGTTTCTAGAAATATGCAATGTTATTACTGTAAAAACAAATTCTCTGTTTCTCGTGCAGTCTGTTTGCAGTTAAAATCACAGTAAAAATAAATAAATAAATCAATAAATCAATAAATATTTGATGAAAATTATACTGTATATCTGGTGACTCATTTTGAGTTTATTTCTGAGAACATCCGAAAATCATTTTTTGTATATGACATGTATCAATGAGCTTCATTGCGAATTATTTTGCATCATTTTGCAGTGTTTCACGTGTAAATGATTTTCTCTTGGCTAAAAAATATTCCCCTGCAAAAAATGACAATTGCATTATCAAACTTTCCGTTTTATTAATTTCATGGAGTTGAAAAGACGTATGTATATCTGTGTTAATTTGAAGCATACATTCTTTTTCAAAACTTTAAGAGGATAAAAACATGTAATGATTATAAGCGAAGGTGCAGGTTATTATGTTAAGTTTGCTCTATTTCAATGCTAAACTCGTTGACGACTTAATTATTTGACAACAATGATTGGCATTTGAATCATACTGTTACCTAAGCTGTTTGTAAATATAATAATTACATTTAGTCCCCATAAACAAATTTAAGAGGAAATTAGACTGCAATTATACCATTCTTTTCCATCCACCCATCCACCGCCCGTCTCTCACTCTCGCTATATCGTTTATTCATATCGCCACCCGATAATTACAATTAAATATTATATGTACCTCTAAAACGATATATGAATTGAATAAATTTAGGATAAAAAAGGTTATAAAATTAAGGCTGTTGTCGTCTCAAAGAGATTTTTCGAGTTAGAAAAATTCCAACTTGAAGCCTGCAGAATTATAACTGGTACAACGAAACTTGTTTCTTTCTCAAATCTGTATGAAGACAAATGTTTTCAACCCCTAAAAGTAAGACGCTATAAACACAAACTAATTCTGCTATATAAAATGTTCAATCACCTATCTCCACAATATCTTCCATAGTTCCAAACACAGTAGGACAAACTTCAGTACTGGTTTCCTAGCAGTTTCCGGCCACAAATCGCACTTTTTAACAAATAAAATAAAAATCAGTCTACGGAGGGGTACAAAACTTTGACAGGACAAAGTTAGGTACTTGTCCAGCATTGCCATGTGTATAATGTTCCACTTTCATTTTACTTTTTAATTTGAATGTAGGCCTGAAATGTAACACCTTTTTTACCTTTATTAAAAAATTCATTGCAGTTTTCCGGACATTTTTTCATTTTGAATATAATTCAGTACCATAAAGCAATGTTAAAATGGTTTTATCAAACAAACAGAACTTCCCAACCTTTTCGTGTCGTCTGCAAAAATATTTTCTGAGATATTGATTTACCTAAAATGAAGTCTTAGTTATTGCGCATGGATATTCAAAGTATAATTCCCCAGGTGTTGCTTATTTTTGAAAGTCGCAAGTTCTCTTACGTAATTATAAATAACAGGCAAAACTTCAAAACGTATAAATTGTTGTACTATTTTAAATGCTGTTTAGCATAGAAAACAAATGTCTCTCTGATTGATGAAGTAATGTGGATGCCTTACTGGTAAAAATAGACTGTACTGGACGAAAATGATAAACGGCCGTAAAACTGCTAGGGGACGGAAACTGCTATGAAACCAGTATACAACTTACGAAATGCAAGTAACACTAGAAATATTTTCTGTCAAACTCAACTTTATTCAAATTCATTCTTACCATCTTCGATTAAAGACTGGAATGATCTCCCTGTCGAACTAAGAAATGCACCATCGCTTGCAATTTTCAAAAAAAGACTAAATGAAGATGTCCAAAAAGTTCCAGGTCACTATTATTTAGGTGAAAGAAGATATCAAATAATACACACACGATTAAGAACACATTGCAGCTCTCTGAAAGAACACCTGTTTTCTAAAAACATAATAGACAGCCCTTTTTGTATATGTGGTGAAATAGAAAATACAGAACACTATTTCCTCCGCTGTCCCATGTATCAAGATGACCGCACTGTCCTTATAAACAATTTAAGTCAAATAACAACTGTAACATTGAATAATTTACTATACGGCGATAATTCACTTACCGGTGCTCAAAACGAAACAATTATATCACATATACATAAATACATACAAAAAACAAAAAGATTTGATACATAATAATATTCGTTTGAAAAGAAAAAGGTCCTCCAACTCCATAGTAGTAAAGTGACTTTCTTTCTTTCTCTTTTTCCTTATCTCTTTTTCTCTTCTATTATTACTTCTCCTCCAATGTACATGTTTTAATAATTAAATTTCTCAACATATTAGTTTAATTAACCAATCACCACTGCGGTATACCGTACCCCGGATATTGCTCGATATTATGAGGACTTTCATCCCATTTCGCGACTTTGAACAAGGAAAGAAGGTATGTTTAGTGACGATATTTAGTCATTTTGAATTGGTTTGATATAAATTTTGTAGAAAAACAAATACTACGATAATTTCTCTAGTTACTGAAACCCCAAAAATGTTGAGAAATAGCTTTGAAATGTAATTAGGAGGTAAAATTTGTCTCTTTGCTCACGTGATAAATGAGCTCGGATCAATCAAATTTGATGTTTTTGTGCATATACTTCTTTAAAAGAAAAACTTGAATCGAGTGAAATGTGATAATGATGATAATGTTTATGTTGTAAATGTTCAATCAACAATAGAACCTCAGATGACAGTGCATTTTGAGAATAAATACACATGTCAGTGTACCGAGTATTGCGTTGGAGTTGCCCGCCGGTGTCACGAGTATTGCTTTTAGTGTAACAAGTATTGGTTATCAATGAAGAGTAAATGCAAGTAGTAAACACAAAGTATTTACCACATTTAATTTTAAATATTTCTTACTGTGTATACTTATTTACACTATATGTGCAGAATATGCAGAATTCGGAGGTACTTTACTGGAAACATCTGCGAATAATCCAGATTTTCATTCCTGCTCTTGAAAAATCTCAGCCGAACGAACTCAGCAATTTTCTGTGTTTAAAATGTTCTCGTTGCTATCGAAGGGTCAACCTTCCCAGAATTTGTTAATAATTATTGCATATCTTACTTTAATTAAATTGTAAAAAATGCATCCAAAGTGCATTAATACTGCCTCAAGATTGTCAATATTAGACGGTATTGAGCAAGTGTGCCAATATCTAATATCAACCGACTTCCTACTATGCCAAAAATCCATATAAAGGTAACTTTCGGGCATTTTGTACCTGCACTCTAGCAACGGCAGACCGTCTGCACGTGAAATTTTGTTACGCCATAAGCAATGAGTTACCGTATGACTGCCGAGCGGGTACAGCTCAAAAAACCGAATAATAGATTTTGATAAGATTATGATAAAGGGCAGCAGATGCAATAAAAAGGTTATGTTCCTTATAACCTTTTACCTCATGAAGGCTTTACACCCCCACCCCTTTTGAGGCCTCAAATAGTGTAAAACATGCGCTATTTAGACCCCAAACACGGTTTTTTCATTTGAGAATTGTTGTTCAAAAGAGTGATCACTTTTTCGGCGCCACCCCCATTAAAAAGGTACATCAAGGGGATTACGTAGGCAGGGGGGGGGGGTGTGCCCCCTTCTGTTTGGGGGTTTGAAGTGGGGCAGTAGCCCCTCTAATCTCCGAGAAGACTTGGGACTTGTGGGGGGCTAAATGGCCTCAGGTCGATTTAAAGGTACCGTGTAATAAACGCCGAAAACCTAAGACTTTATATCAATCAATTGAGAAGTTGGTGCACCTTGAAATCAGTTTTGATGGGAAAAAACAACGCAAAATAGAGGTTTTTGGCAATTTTGAGACACCCCCCCCCCCACCCCGTTGCAATGATAATTGGAAATTTAAAATTGAGCATGCTATTCCACAGGTTATGGTCCAGCTAATATTTGTGCCCAGTTTGATTTTGATCAGTATTGAAGCATTTTTTATAGTTTCATAGCAGTTTGAACTTGTAACAAGAGGCTTGAAAACAGCCATTTTTCGCATTATGCTCATGCAGTAAAAGGTTAAGACGATACCGGCATGCTTGGACGGCATTAGCCCTGGGGCCAATATTTTATTAATTTCGTCGATATGTTTCTTAACCTTTTCCCTTATATAAGCGTGTTTCGACGGCTTTTTGCCCCCCCCCCCTTTTTGAGGCCTCAAACAGTTAAAAAATGCCCTATTTAGGCCCCAAACACTGTCTTTTGTTTGAGAAATGTTGTTAAAAAAAGTGACCATTTTTTCGGCGCCGTCCCCCATCCAAATATAACATCAGGGGGTTGCCAGAAGGGGGATGTGCCCCATCTGTTTGGGGGGTTTGAAGGGGGCGGAGTCCCCCTCATCGCCAATAAAATTTTGGACTTGTGAGAGGCTAAAAATGACCCCAGGTGGATCATAAGGTAACATGTAACCAACGCTGAAAAGTCTTTGACTCTATCTCAATCCCTTGAGTAGTAGTTGCAGCCTTTGATGGAAAAAATCGAGGCAAAATACTGATTTTTTGCAATTTTGAGATGTCCTCTCGTTGCCATGGTAACAGGAAATTTAAGACTGAGCATGTCGTTACAAAAGCAATGGTCCAGTCAACATTTGTGCCAAGTTTGATTAGTATTGAAGCATTTTTCATAGTTTCATAGCAGTTTGAACTTGTAACAGGAGGCTTTTCAGTGAAAATGGCCATTTTTCACAATATGCTCATGGGGGAAAGGGTTAACTAAAAAAATTATAAATGTTACAAAACAACAATTTTTCACCAAAATTAGGTAAAAGACCACATGTTAACATGGAAAAACTAGATTTTGGGTGATTCCAAGGTTTTTCATCATTTTTTGTTAACTAAAAAAATTATAAATGTTACAAAACAACAATTTTTCACCAAAATTAGGTAAAAGACCACATGTTAACATGGAAAAACTAGATTTTGGGCGATTCCAAGGTTTTTCATCATTTTTTGTTAACCTTTTCCCTTATATAAGCGTGTTTCGACGGCTTTTTGCCCCCCCCCCCTTTTTGAGGCCTCAAACAGTTAAAAAATGCCCTATTTAGGCCCCAAACACTGTCTTTTGTTTGAGAAATGTTGTTAAAAAAAGTGACCATTTTTTCGGCGCCGTCCCCCATCCAAATATAACATCGGGGGTTGCCAGAAGGGGGATGTGCCCCCTTCTGTTTGGGGGGTTTGAAGGGGGGCGGAGTCCCCCTCATCGCCAAGAAAATTTTGGACTTGTGAGAGGCTTAAAATGACCCCAGGTCGATCATAAGGTAACGTGTAACCAACGCTGAAAAGCCTTTGACTCTATCTCAATCCCTTGAGAAGTTGCAGCACTTTGAAATAAATTTTGATGGAAAAAATCGAGGCAAAAAAGTGATTTTTGGCAATTTTGAGATGTCCCCTCGTTGCCATGGTAACAGGAAATTAAAGACTGAGCATGTCGTTACAAAAGCAATGGTCCAGTCAACATTTGTGCCAAGTTTGATTAGTATTGCAGCATTTTTCATAGTTTCATAGCAGTTTGAACTTGTAACAGGAGGCTTTTCAGTGAAAATGGCCATTTTTCACAATATGCTCATGGGGGAATGGGTTAACTAAAAAAATTATAAATGTTACAAAACAACAATTTTTCACCAAAATTAGGTAAAAGACCACATGTTAACATGGAAAAACTGGATTTTGGGCGATTCCAAGGTTTTTCATCATTTTTTGTTAACCTTTTCCCTTATATAAGCGTGTTTCGACGGCTTTTTGCCCCCCCCCCTTTTTGAGGCCTCAAACAGTTAAAAAATGCCCTATTTAGGCCCCAAACACTGTCTTTTGTTTGAGAAATGTTGTTAAAAAAAGTGACCATTTTTTCGGCGCCGTCCCCCATCCAAATATAACATCGGGGGTTGCCAGAAGGGGGATGTGCCCCCTTCTGTTTGGGGGGTTTGAAGGGGGGCGGAGTCCCCCTCATCGCCAAGAAAATTTTGGACTTGTGAGAGGCTTAAAATGACCCCAGGTCGATCATAAGGTAACGTGTAACCAACGCTGAAAAGCCTTTGACTCTATCTCAATCCCTTGAGAAGTTGCAGCACTTTGAAATAAATTTTGATGGAAAAAATCGAGGCAAAAAAGTGATTTTTTGGCAATTTTGAGATGTCCCTCGTTGCCATGGTAACAGGAAATTAAAGACTGAGCATGTCGTTACAAAAGCAATGGTCCAGTCAACATTTGTGCCAAGTTTGATTAGTATTGCAGCATTTTTCATAGTTTCATAGCAGTTTGAACTTGTAACAGGAGGCTTTTCAGTGAAAATGGCCATTTTTCACAATATGCTCATGGGGGAAAGGGTTAAGGCAAACTTGCCCTGTAAAACCTATTATTAATGTCATCTAAATATGTATTTTTTATTCTTGTCCATTTCAGAGATGGGTCTCCTTGATCAAAGTGTCTTGAGACATGTATTTAAAGTTTTTTATCGTCAATTTTGATGGTTCTACCCTGCTTCCGACCCCGCGCACTCTTTATTTCATCCATAGTGTGATTTTCAACCAAATTGGAAATTAAATCTCTGTATTTGCCCGTAGGAAAAGAACAGTAATAACACTGAAAATGCACTGTTGAATCTGAAATATTTGAATAAATATCATATAAACAAGTACATTATCAGAAAAATGAAATAAAATCGATAAACAGACGTTAAAATTAGACAAAAATATCGAGTTTCCATACTAATGTGCTCATTCTGTTTTGCAATACTCTGTACACTAAAGTTGGGCTATTTTGCAATACTCTGTACACTTAAAATCAATATTCGGTACACTGTCTTGTATCTTTTTTGGCCTGTATCTTTTTGTACTTTCACACTTTTTGCCTGAAATTTGGACAAGGCATACTTGGATTGTGAATAAAAAAATTGCTCGATTCATTTTTTTTATATTGGTAATATAATAATTTCTAACGATTCTACAGTATCGCGGTCAGTATTTTCTAGTGAGCAGCGGATCGTCTAGGGGTAGTTTAATCAATTTTACAAATAGCTGTCATATTTTTACGTCTTTTAGAGCTACAAAAATACCTCTAGATATATAAAACTCGTTTAGACAAATGAAATAGCCATTAGTTTGGAAAATATCGTCGCTGAACTTACCTTCGTTCCCCGTTCAAAGTCGCGAAATGGGATGAAAGTCCTCATAATATCGAGCAATATCCGGGGTACGGTATACCGCAGTGATCACTAAACTAAGCAATACAGTCTAACTTGCCCATGCGACCACGTGTATTAAGCGACTTTTGTCTTAAACGACCACTTTAAATTCCCCCCGATCATTTTCTCTCTATATCTTTAATGTATTAAGCGACTTTTGCTCAACGCGACCAGCGACTGCTAATTAGCCACCTAATTGACATCAATCTTTTCATTAAACGACCACTTTTACCTGTCAAGTAATTGTGTTTTTAGAGAACGCCACCTTGTTAAGTCACAAGTGTGAACAATCAAACGTGTGAAAAAACTCTATTTCCCATACCGTTTTAGCGTATGCAAATGAAGTTAAGTATACGCGTGACGTGTATTATCCAATAATATCGGATAAACAATGCAACGCTCCGCCCATACTGAGATGGTGTATACGCTTCGCTTGTTGACATTTAGACTGCATTGAATTGACCTTGAACTTGATCAGCCATTAAATTAATCGTAACAAAGAGATGTAGTTTGTTTATTTCAAATGAAAAAATGCACAACAGAAAACATCTTCACTAATAGGGTTTTCGTGTTGGAGACAAGGAAAAACAACGGAGAAGTTAAAAAATTCTGGAAAAAATGTCAAACATGTACGTAATGGATCTTGAAACTGTTTTGTCAATAAATATCAGAAAGTTATTTTTTTACATTTGCATCCATTTAGATTATCGGAGCGTACTTTTTTTTCAACAAAGATATAAAAATGAAGTTGAAAAACAATCCCACCGAATAAAAAAGATGTCATTTTATAAATTTTGACTTTTATATCATGCTGACTGTCTTAAGAGACCGTTTCATTAAGCGACCGTTTTGGGTGTTTCCCTTGCCCGGTCGCTTAATACACGTTTGACTGTATATCCCTTTAAAAATGAATTCATACTCGTGCTTATACCTCTAATCTAACAGCAATGTATCTTAAATTTAGTTCATGAATACTTGACATAAACATAGTATGTAAGAAAGCAAGAACAAGTCGATATGATATGTATAGTTAGTTTAGATATTTATATTTTGTTACCATTTATTTGAAATTTGTTAAATACTGATTACGGAAAGAGTTTTCAAAAAAAGCTTTACAAGCTTCCTACTCAATCCGTAAATTTTATTTTATGTAATTTATTATGTACATGTGTGGATTATTAATAAAATATGTTTAAACTAAAGAGGTTTTGTTGTCATCTTTAAGAGATTTGACTAAGCAAAATGTTAAATTATCTGGAAGTGCTTTTTTTGTTCAATATCATACTATTTGACGGATACGAAAAGTAGTGTACGTACTATTTAACCAGAATAAAAGTGTTAAAATGGTCAAAAATTTATTTTTTCTTTTACGGGAATTTTCTCTTTTTGATTTTTTTTCTTTGATTTTTTTTTCTTTAACGAGAACGTTAATTTAGTGGGTAAATGACGAAATAGGGGAATGGGGGTGATGGGAGTCCGACCCCCCCCCCCCCACAAAAAAAATGAATAAAAAAATAAATAAAAATGAAATAAAATAAATAAGTAAATAAAAAAATGACAAAGAAACAAACAAACAGACCTAAAAACAGAAACAAAAACAACTAACGAAACCCAAAGACTTAGCGACAATCGTAACTAACGAATGATTCTGATAACTTTTCCTAGATTTGGGAAAATGCAAAATGTTATCACCATTCAAATAATTGCTTTGTCGCGACAATACTAGCCATTTCGTCATCACATTGGATTGGATTGTCATGGATACGAGCCACGTAATATTTGTCAACATGTGAATAAAGCCAATCATATTAAAAAGGTTAGTTAAGTGTCATGACTAGCCACTGTCAAAGACACGTGTCAGACAGTGATATTTAACATGTAATTGAGGATAACTTTGAGTTTGTATGCTTCAGTCACATGTCAAAAACGTTCGCGTAAATATTTCCATTGATATTACCACACGTGAATTATAATAAACAATACATTTTACAATTATTATGAAAAGTGTTAACGAAACAACCACTAAAATGATGCAGTGGTTGAACAGTGCTTGGTGAAGTCAATGTGGCTTACTAGCTGCTGTGATCCGGAGTAAATTAAAACTACCAGCACCACCACTACCACCACTAAAACTTAACTCATTCTCACAGAACTTTAATATCTCCCTAAAATTTAAATCGGGCTTTAAGGAAAACCCCTGCGAATGAAAAAAAAAACAAAAAAAACTAAAACGGACTTACTTCCGTTTCCTTGCTTACAATCTTCTGAGTCGTCCACATCTGAGGTTGCTGATATCTGCCGGTTTCTGATCGCGACTCAGGATAAATGTTAATAAATACGTCTAATTATAACAATAAATAGTTCGCTTCGCGACCCTGTCGTACATGCCGTATTTCAATTAAATCTCCACTTTTTGCCCCGCACCCGTTAATAAGCATGTTTTTTTTTGTTCCGCGACCCCGCCATTTTAAATTGTTTCGCTTGGCGGTGTCGCGGGGCGAAAACACAAAATGGTACAAATCAGTCACCATATGCAACTTAACAAGTGTATTACCTCAACGGGGAGTGAACGTTTCGGATTTGTATTCGAGGAGTAGCTGGTTCAATCCTCGAGCGAGCCAAATTTCTACATGACAATTGGTCACTTGTCTCTCACCGCTCATTCATAATTCATGTTGAATTAAATATCTGTCATTTGCACACTGGTTAATAGTCCAGGAAAGTCATTTAGGTTGACCGACCACAGAGAGATGACCAACAATATGTTGAAATCGGTGTAAAAACAAACAGAAAAATGATCGGTGAATGGATTTGATGATTGTCATAACAAATCTGGTAATAGTCATAAGAAGTATCATTTGCTAAAATTTCTACATATTGATGTTTCAATTGTGCAGTACAGTACATTCTATATAGATTTGAGATTAGATCTGTTGTGTAACTAAAAGTTATATAAAGAATTTAAAGATAAACTATTTATGCATGGTTTGGAAACGAATGTCGCCTTCAATGGTCTACAAATAAAGATAGGGAACGTTTACCGAGTTCACTTAAGTTTTCATAACGTTACTACATGTATTTGTTATAAAAAAAATACTTGTGCGCATAGGACACGGATGCCCCAGCGGAATATTTTTGTGTGCTTGTCAGTTAGTATTAGCTAGGGTATTATTGACTTGAGATAGAAATATTTCATCGTGAACACTATCTGATTGTAAATTATAATACAACACAACGTTCGATCTTTTGCTTTGACCTTGACCTTCAGGTTCAGTACATTTACAGATCAATGAATATTTCAATCGCGATAATGAATTTAATGTTACATGACTTTACTTGATTGAAATATTTTTAAGTGTTTTATGTACTTTGTACCAGTTTTGAAGTTTTTACCGAATGTTTTAACATCTTATATAACTCTTTAAAAGCTACCATGTTATTTTATAATTCATATTAACATGCGCGAGTGGCGGAGTGGTTGACGTCTCGTACTTGTAATCCAAAGGTCGCTCGCGTGAGTTTAATCTCCGTCAAGGACAAGTCGCCATTACCTTGAGCAAGAAACTTTACTTTCATTTTTCAGTAATGGTTTGTTCCAGGAACAGATTCGAGAGTGTGCTTTTAAGCTAATAGTTTCCTACACAACCGAACTACTCTAGCTCTGTCGTAGAATTTATCTATAATAATGATCAATGACCCACACTTAAACAGCTTATACATTAAACCAATTAGATGTGTACGCATATACTTGTTTGTGATAATTTTTGTTGTTATTGTCGTTTCTTTTTAGATGTTTTTTGTTTCTTTTATAACAGTTGGGATACATAATTATAATTTTTGTTTTTCTTGAAAGGCAAAGATGTATGTAAGCTTTCAAGCAAGCTGTGCACACTTATTTGTTACATTTTAAAATACAGAATGTAGCAATGCACTGAGTGCAATCCCTTGCCATGACCTTCACCTCTGACATATTGGCATGCATGGGTCTTACCGACGACATATCGTCTGCTTGTATCTTTAATGCTTAAGTCAACAAAATAGCTCTTATAATATATAAGAAACTCATTTAATACCTTGTCATTGACCTAGTACGTGGTTCATATGCACTTGATTATTATTCACCTACAAAAAGCGGTGTCCAGGCATGC